CTTATCTTATCTTATCTTATCTTATCTTATCTTATCTTATCTTATCTGATCTGATCTGATCTGATCTGATCTGATCTGATCTGATCTTAGATGAATGTAGGAAAAAATACTCTGTTTGTTCAGAAAGCATGGATTAGAGACTCTAACAAAACAAAAAAATCTCATAAAGTTCACAAAATGGTCAAAAACAAAAGTATAATGGATAAAAAGTCCCTGAAAAAGGTTTTAGTTCTAAGTTAAAACATTTAGTAAATCTAAAGTAGAAGCTCATAATTGAATTTTAGGACTCATTGTGTCTGAGAGATAAAATAAAAAACTCCAAATTATAAAGAAATCAACGCTTTGTTTTTATTCTGTCTGTTTCAACCCAGTATACATTTCTTTCCCAGACCAGTCCAGCTTTTACAGTTTGTAGCTTCTCCCCAGCAAAGCTAATATTAAACTGGCTTTTCTTTTTTCTTAGAAGAAAATGTAGTTTTCTTTGAGGAAGGCGAGCTAACGGTTTTATTGTGCATGTGATGAGTCGTCTTCAGACAAAGACGAGGAGCATCAGCAGTTCACCTTCAGTTTTCTTGTTTCAGTGACACCACCAGCATCACAAGCCTGAAGACCTCCATACTCCACTTGTTCCTGTTAGTTTATGACTTTCAGCTGTCCCTCTGCGGTGGGGGTCCCACGTCAGCCCCTCCATCATCAGTCTCCATGCTCCATTAAAACATGATAAGACTCTCAGCAGGTGGTCCCATGTTTGGTGTCTGCTGAGCCTCCAGCACGCAAAAAAACACCTAAATCACTTTTATTCTCGTTCTTAAAGAATTGAGTCTTATTGAAGCTTGATTTTTTTCTTGATTTTGTTAATTGCACTTAACTTTTTATTTTATTTTAAATTGGCCTGGATAGCCCCGCCCCTTGGCTTCAGCCCAGGATCCACCTCGTATTAACCCCTCGAGACCATTCATGTTCCTCAGGAGGAAATTCTTAAAAATACTAGTATTTAATATATTGTTCCACAATAAATTAGTCTTTTAGAGCCATTTCAGCTGGAAATAAAAATATGAAATTTAAAATATTTTTTTTAACAATTTAAGGGCCTTTAGTTTGATAAAAGTCCACTTTTATTTATTTTTTTGAACATCAATAAAATATGTATTTTACTGCAGTTTAAAAAAAAAGATTTTCCCCTCATTAGTATGCCCAAAATTATTGTTTAGACAGTTTTTTTATTTTATTTTTTATTCCAGTCTGGAGTTTTAAGACGTCCAGACACCGGACCCTTCAGAGCCAGTGGATAAAAATGAGGCCTTGTTTCGCTCAAACACCCTCCCGTCTGTGACCGGACATGGAGGTTTTTTAATCATTTTTTTCTTTTTAACTATTAATTAAAAACTAATGTTTTGATTAACTCTGCCTGTGGTAGAATCACTAGTTTCTAATTAGTTTTTCTCTTACTGACCTGGAAGTACCGCGAGCTGCAGGAGCACGAAGCACCCATGAATGACTTCCTGCTTCGGGATCTTCTGCAGCCTGCATGCATGCGAAACAGCTTCAAACAGTACTATATGTTTACTTGGACACATCACAAATGTTGTCGCTCGTTACATCTAAACTAAAACCATTGTGTCGGACAAGGTGCAGGTAAATGTAACTTAGATCAAATTTAACTTACGATGAAGATAAATTCAGATTATATATAGTTTCATGCTAAATAAAAACAATTAGCTGCTGAAGAAGGTGGATGGCTTTCTACCGTGTCCAAGGGATTCAAGGATTCAAGGTTCTTTGTCGGTGGGGGAATGAAATTGTGTACACAGGGTCCCAGTTACATCCAACAAAAGTATAAAATATAAAAGAAAAACAGTAATAAGATCCAAGATACGAACTAAGAAAAACATTAAATAAAAATATACTACGGTAAGCACTAATAGCATAAAAACAATACACCGAACAGCAGCACGAACATGAGTCTGTGTGAGCAGATGAGAACGAATGAACACATCAACATGAAACAGATCAGCAGCAACATGAAACAGATCAGCAGCAACATGAAACAGATCAGCAGCAACATGAAACAGATCAGCAGCAACATGATGTGATTTTCACAGTGATTATTCTGGTTAGAGATTCAGGAGTCTAACAGCCTCAGGGTACATACTGCCAACTTTAAGTTTGCTAATAAAATTATTTTACAAGCTTGTTCCTGTCTGTTGTGGGCGTGTCTTAACATGTTCATAAGGCACGCTATTGGCTGCCTACAAGTACACATGACAAGACGTGATTGGTCGACACAGCTTCAACTGAAAGGGTAGGAAGATGTGTGATGCAAACGGAGTGACAGTCATCTTAGCAGTTACCAGTTTAGTGTTAACTTCTACAATTTTTTTTCTTTACCTGTTCAACGATTTAGCATTAGTGAAGAAATTTTTTTAGTTAGTGGAATAAAAATTAACGAAGCTAACATTTTGGTTATCTGTGCTCACCACTGATATATATATATAT